CAGCACAACAGCTTAAGGAAATCCTCATGGGCCGTTGGGAACCAAGCGCAGATGTGTGGCTTGTGGTGTATCCACCACTTCTTCATGGTCCTGGTGCATCACACATTTGGACTCTGCCCAGGTCAGTGTAGGCCCATGTCAGTGTGGAAAAAGGCAAGCCAGAGTTAATACAATAATTGACTTTATGCCCCAAGTCAATAACTTGAGGGTAGCTCCAAGAAACATGCTCTAAAGCCGGCTGGTGGAGTCTCATATTATGTTAATAGTACTAAATTGCATCTTAATCCCACCTTTTTCCCCTTGGGGGAATGCAGGGCAGCTTACATAGCTACATTCTGTCCCAGTGGTGGTGAACCTGTGCCGTGTGTGCCACAGCGGGCACACAGAGCCCTCTCTGTCGGCACGCGAACCAAGTCGCCCCAGCATCACCCGAGCAGCCGAGCATCAGATAACAGCGCACACAGGGGCCATGCGCATGCTCAGAAAGGAGTAGCACCGCCAGGTGATGATGTCACGAGCCGCGACTCATTAGCTGTGACTCGTTCGAGCTCTCACATGGCCAGTCAGTGCACCACCAAGGGGGGGGGGGGGAGAGAGAGAGAGAGAGAGAGAGAGAGATGCATGCATGGACTGGCTGTTTTCAGGTTTTATTGCAGTGTTGGCACTTTGTGATAAATAAGTGGGTTTTGGGTTGCAGTTTGGGCACTCAGTCTCTGAAAGTTTCACCATCACTGGGTTAGGGTTACAAAAATGAGGTGTCCCGGCATGATTTTGATGGTTGGAATGTGTTCAGAATGGGCAGAAATGTTGAGCAGTGCAGAAAAAGCTACTCAAGGAAGGCTTTTTCAAAATGCCCTCTTTTGAATGGAACTTTACCCCTATATTATGGTTAGGGGTGTGCACCAGGGTAGGGTTAGGATTAGAAAAACGAGGTGTCCTGGCATGATTTTGATGGTTGGAAAATGTTTAGAATGGGCAGAAATGTTGAGAAGTGCAGAAAAAGTCAAGGCCATATTTGAGAAAGCCAGTAGAACTGAGAGACTTTTAAGTTTGTAATCAGGTCTCCTATATACTAATGGCAAACTCATTCATGAAGCATGGATCCTTGCATAGCTAAAACAGCCCCAGCCATGCACAAGAGAGAGTTATTGGCAGGATCGGAGAAATTCCAAGGTTTATAGAAGTGCAAAAGCATTAAAAAACTGTGGGGGGGGGACACCTTACAATGGGGGATGGGGACACCCCCCACGCCAAAAAAATAGATCAACAAGGACCGAACATGTTGAGTGGTAATGGAATACTAAAATAATGGGAGACGCAAGAATGGTGTGTGTGCAATAGAAGGCACTAGCCTGGAAGGGACGTGGTTGTTTGTCTGAGCAGGAGAATCATAAACAGGAGCCCTCCACAATACAACATTATGTTGCAGAATCCACTCATTGTCAGAAATAATGAGTTTGTATTCAGGTATTTTAGGATATCCCCCACCCTCTCTCTTTAAAAACTCTACACTCATGGGACACATGCAAAGCATTCTTGATAAAATCAGACTGAAATATACAAGAAGTGAACGTTACAGTTTTAGAGGAGACTACCAAATGCATTCCATGCATTAACTTTGCTTCCTTTTTCAATTTCAGAAGAAATATCATTAGATTTCCAAGGTAACAAGCCAGCTCAGTTGGGCAACAGGAAATAACCAGTAGCATTAAATTGCAACTACGTACTGTGATAATTACTGCAATTTCAGGAGGTGTGGAAAGTGCAGCAAGCCAAAGCCAAAGTGGCCAATCTTTTTAATTTCTTTGCACTGGGAAAGAAACTTCAGTGGGTGTGGGAAAGAATTGCAGTGGTCTGATACTTCTCTTGTTCTCACAATGTTAAGTAGCTTGAATATGAAGGCACACAGTCATATCCCAGATCCTCTGGAATGTGCAGTTCCATGTTGCACCTAGGATTGCTATCGGGCATAGCATAGCAACTTCAGCAGGAAATGCAGCTCCAAAAGTACAATTTCCTTGGGCACAGAGTCGCTGGAAGGTAACCAATACACCATGAGCTGCTTCTTACAGAAAAGTAAAGCGCACATAGTATCCTCTTGGGAGGATTTAGGGTAATGAAAGCGATTTTCTTATTACTGCCTTCCTCATAGTGCTTAGCTCCTCTTCATTCTGGGCAAAACAGAAAGCCAGCTGATTCAAATTTAGGGTGCTGTGTGTCTTGGATGGGGTGCACTGCACTTGCCCTGAAACTCTGGGATCTTCCTTGGGCTGTTGCTCCTGCTTGGATTCACCAATGGCACCAGTGGCAAGGAGTCCTTTCCAGCTTCAGCTGCTAGATCAGCTCCAAGTTAACTGCTGCGAGTACCCACCCGTTATTCATGTTCTAGTTACCTTCAAATTAGTGTACTGCTTCATAACTGCCTTTAAAGATGTTCAGTACCTGGAACAAGTACAAGATTGCTGCTGCCAGTGTTTTGTGGTGCAAGGCACTGAGAGTGTATTAGGTCTGTGTTGCCTGCCAGCTTATTTTCTGGCGCAAGACACAGTGCTGGCTTTAACCCTTAAAGTTTGAAATGACTCTGGGTTTACATGCTTTAAGGGCTGCCTTCTTTCGTATACTCCTTCCTGTGTGCTCACTTCATCAGCTGAGGCATTGCTCTGGATCCCTTGGTTGTCTGAGGAGGGGCAGGCCAAACAGAGTATAGGGCCTTTTCAGTGGTGGTCCCCACTTTGTGGAATGCTTTTCTGGTATTTCCACAAATTCCAGTATGAAATGTCTTTATGTACCTTAATTAAAACCAGGCTATTCAAGATGGCATTTAGTTGAAAAAACCACCTCTTCTGCCAATGCTGGTTCTATTTGTCTTCATCCTGTTTATGATTTTATGGACTGATGTGTTTTCTGCTTGCTCAAATTTACTATCTCTTTTTGTTTTAATTATGTGTTATTATGGTCACGGTTTAATGAAGTTTAGAGAGTTGCTGCTATATTGTTTGTTATTTTTGAATTTGTTATTGTTAAATTTTACTGTTAGCCACCTTGAGTTGCTGTTTGAAACAAGCCAGAATATAGTTGTTGTTTTAAATGCTTGATTCAACAAAGGTATACACAAATACATCTTTCCTGGGATCTGCAGAACTAAGGGAGCCATCCAGTAATGGCTATCCACAACCCTCTGTACTCTGGGAGGGGGGATTTCCAAGCATTCACAAGTAATACAGAGACAAGGATTGCTCTGTGCTTCCCACACCTTCCTAAACGCTTTGATTGCTGATTTCCTGCTCGCAAGATGGAGGGACTGAGGCACAACTGGAATTCCTCCTATCCTGGCAATGCCTTGCCAGAATGTGCCCTGCCATGTCAGATCAAAAGTTACAGCTGCAGCTTCAATGCTGCAGTTAGTGTGGCAGCTTGTGGGTCAGTGGGAGGGCCCTCCGTATTTGGAGCCCCTCGGAGCACTGTTTCTGAAGTTGGAGCTGGGGCTCCACATTTTCCTAGGCCAGCTAGATAGCATGCCTGTGGATTGTGCCCTAAGGCTGTGAAGAAGCTTGGCTTTGTGGCCAACTTGCATGCTCAGTCTTTCAAAAAGGCATGTTTTGTTTGCAAGGATGTCTGTGCAGTCCCTAGAATGTGATGCTGTGGGGTTTGGCTAAGATTATGAAATCCTTTGGTCTTCCTAATTATCTGTAACAACAACTTTGCCATCAACAAAGGGTTTTTGAATAATTAGTAAATTTTACAGTACCACTTGGATTATTTCTGCCTTTCTCTTTTGTAAAGAAGCATTTCAGAAATTCCAGAACCAGATGGAGAGACAAAACTATTGTTTCTGTGCCATTTGGAGCTCCTATTAATGTGTAGGAGTCTTTCCCTTTTATGTACTAGGATTACATACATTTGACCATGGATTTCCTCTGTTTAAGCTCTACTGAAAGAGTGGAATACACACAACAGCATAATAAGCACTCCCATACTATTCTGTTTTGTTTTAGTAGGCTTTATGCAAAGAATTCCCCAACTTTTATTAAGTACATAGACAAAGTGATCAGTTATATATTTGGAATTGTGATGTGTGTGCTGGTACTTTTAATATTTTGCTATGGCCCATAGCTAGATCAACCAGTTATAAAAGTGACTCACAGGAGATATGAACTCCGCACACTTTTTATGAATACACCTCTTTGGGGCTTTCTCTAGAGAATACACTCCTTGCATTACTCCTTTGCTCCACTAGGTGTCATTGTCAGGCTACAAAACAACCCCATGGTACTTTCTGCATCTTCTTCTCTAGTTTCATATTACTTATGACACTTTCCTGTATCAGCTTACTAACACCAAGGTAAGACATATAATTCCCTATGGCAACTCTTAAATTCCGAATGGATCCATGTACAGAATGCAATAACCTATACAACCTTAACGTGTCCTAATGGATGTTGCTTTTTCTTAAATCAGCACAAATTAGAAGTAGCCATGGGAGAGAGAAGATGCAGCCATAATGCAAGTTTAAGGTCAGACAAATAATGCAAGCGATCTGAATTGCTTTTTTGAGTCTGCCCTGAGCAAGCCTGCAATCGTGAAAATCTAAGTAAATGTTGTGGCCTAGATTCAAGGAATGGCTAAGAACATTTTAGTGCACACCTAACAAGATGCTTTGTGCTCATGGAGGGATTGCCAGTTTTCTTTTCTGGATGCAACCGTTGACCCCAGAGTGGGCTTGGAAACATTTCACATCAAGGGATTGGGAAAAGTTGAAAGTGAAAGAATTCTAGCACATATGCATGAAGAGCAAAGTAATAGTTAAACGCAGACGGAAAATATGTTTGTCACCCAAGGCAAAATAGCACAGTGATTTACTCTGGACTCTTTCCTGAAAATAGGAACCGTTCTTGGTAAATAGACAGTTAGAGCATCTGTGAGAGGCATCTTTCCAGCATCCTGTGCTCTTGGCTACATACGCCCCAGCACTAATAGTATGTGCTTAATTTTTGCTTTAGGAAGCTGATTTGTACCGACAACTTCCCATGGAGTCTGAGAACTTGGTTCAGACAGCGGTGAGCACTCCAAACATGACACAAGACATGAGGTCTATTACAAATAACGGGTCGGATCCCTTCCTGAACAGGCAAGTACATTCTTTGCTCCCAAGTGATTTTATATCTTGTAATCTGGTCAATATTTGAAATTCTCCTACCTGTTAGGGAACCTCCCTTTCAGACTGAGGTAGAGGTTGGAAAGAGGCAGTTTTGCCTATTGAAGTGCAAATGCAGGCATTTGATAATTCTGTAACCAAATCTGATTTAAATGGTCCTCACTTGTATCTGATCAATATGTGTAGGAAACTGGTCAGAAACCTGGCCAAAAAGTTTGTAGTTCAGGAACAGGCCAGTGTGAATGCAGCCTGAGGAAGACTTCTGTGTAATTAGAAAAACATGAACATCACATAGTCAACCCTGATTGGTCCTGATACAGGTGCTGACTTAATCTCCCTGTGAATTTTGATGCAATGGGCTGATACAGCTACTTGTTTTTGAACAATTGCCATTATTGGGCATTTGTGGCACTTGTGATGCAGCAGCAAGGAGATAAATGTCATTATCTCCCAATTAAAATCGTGGCAAGCACTGTGTGCCTGACACAACCAACATGAACTGTGCCAAGAGGGGGATGGGAACAGATGTCGTTAAAATATACAAATTAACATGTGCTTCTGCCTGTGTTCACTTGCTCTGTGTAAACTTTCTCTCCAGTCAGGCTACTGACAAATCTGGAATTCTTGGCCAAGAGTGGGGTGCTAAATGGGAGATGGTAGATCTGGATGTTGTGGATAAAGAGGTCAACACAGTTGAGACACAGGGCACAGGGAGCTGTGCAACACACTGCAACTCAGCCCTGAACACAAGGATACAGAAAGCTCCATTATACCATCACAGACTCGTTATGCATCTGGTCCAGAATTGTCTGTGAATGGCAGTGGAGTTTTGAGGTCCCAGGAGGACATCTCTCTGTTACTGGCTACCTACCCATAAAAAATAACAACAATAACAGCAGCAACAACAAAGCCACAAAAAGTGCAGAGACCGAACCTGGGACACGTTGTGTGCAAAGCGTACATTCTGCCCCTGAATTATAAACCCTCTCACTTGCTTCATTTCATTTTTGAGCTGCCAGTGAACCACAATTATGAGGTCTAGAATGCTTTGCTTTGGGGTTTGTTTGCTTTAAAGAAAATCAAAACTAAGTTCTGTGCTGCCTGATTGGCCTGGGGGAACCAACGCAGCAGGTGGAGCACCCTCATGTTTTTGGCAAGTAGGTCTAGCTTCTGACCTCCTGCTAATTCTCCAAAAGCCATCCTGGGGGTAGATGTCTTGATGAAGCACAACCTTGACGGAGGATTCTTCATGTCTCAATTCATAGTGGGCCATACCATTCCAGGGAGCAGAGCACAGACAGTGGCCTAGGCTTAGGATGTTACAGCATACCAACTACACCTGAAGACTTCCTCAGCAATGTAGATGAGATGGATACAGGTAGGAAACAAGAAGCACTTTTTCATTTTTAACAAAATCATAAGTAATTCTTTCATAAGCCAATATCCCTTTTGTGCTTGCCTGAACTGTATATTCTGTTGCACCCGCTTCCCTATAAAACCATTAAAACTATGGTTCTCTGTTGAAACTTTCCTATATAAGCCAGTGCTCAAATTATGGCGGAAGAGGTAGAGATAATGAAATCCACATAAAATCATAAGTACCTTTCCTTGAACTCCTGCAATTTTAGCCAAACCTCACCCTTCACTTTTCGAAAAGCTATGGAGAAAGGGGTCATCACAGGTCCCTTTGTCTGCCCCCTGTCATTCAGGCATTGCTCTTTTGTTAAACCCCTCCTAGGCAGAAGCTGGCTTTGCTGTGCGTCACTGACTTCCTGGATGTCTACATGTGTTGGCCATTAAGGCCACCTTATTTAATAAGACCACAGTGGGATATGTTTGGTGTTTGCCTGTGCTTCTTTGCTGCCAGCTCATTTTATCCAAAGACAAGCGAATAATTTGGCTGAGTTGTGAGTGTAATTCAGATGCAGAAATTCTGAGATTCTTCTCTGCACTAAACCAAAGGTATCTTGAGCCAATGGGTGACTGCATGTGCAGCAGCTCCATTGCACCTGTGGAAGCACCCCTCCACCCACACCTTAGCAGGATCTTACCTTTCACTTCATTGGAGGATCTAGCCCATGTATGCATGAGGATGTGGATGCAGAGCTGCTGCTCCATTAAAAAGAAAACTGGAGGGGGAGCTGCATGTGTAGCAGAATAACCCCTCTCTGGGTTGAGATATAGATGGTCTTCCCCATACACCCAACTGGCTTCAGACTGATCCTGATTCTTAGCACCGTTTTCATTGTCCCTCTCACGTCTCATCACCTGCCCTCCTCAGTCTGGTCCCCTGCAGATGTCCTCTTCTTCTCCCATCAGCCAGCATGGCTCATGGTCAGGAATTTTAGGGGTTGTAGTCTGAAACATCTGGTGGATACCAAGCTAGGGAAGGTGGTTTAAACTATGATCAAGTTCTTCACTTGTTAATCCAGACCCACTTCTCACTGCACTGAGAGATGCTATTCTGGTTGTACCCACTGGGTTTGCAGGGAAGATGGGCGCATCTGGGTCTTGTGTGGCTAAATACTGCTCCAAACAAAAAAGAAAAATTGGCAAGGAACACTGATGTGTCAAAGGGAAGGCTAGGCTAGCATCCTTTTGCTTGACACCAACATTTCTTTGTGGAGCTAATGTTCTTTTGTAGGCTGTGGCATTGTCATGTGGGCCTCCCCAGCATAACAACAAGCCTCACTCTTAAGGTTTTGTGTGTGAGTGAGCATGAAGTGTGAATTCCATGAGGTTTTCGTGCTTTCTCATCATCCATCCATGTACCTACAAGGGTAAGACCTGCTTAGTTTTAGCAGTACATGAACCTCACAAGCCCTCAGAATGTTGCATCTAATTGAGTTTTACTACCTTGGGATGTCTAGATCAGGAGATGTAGCTAACTAAAAGTGCTGTGTTATTGCCAAAAAGATGTTATAACTAAGAAGCCAGTGCTTCAGTGGTTTCTTCTCTTCTTTTGCAGGAGATAATGTAGCACAGACTCCCATGAATATCAACCCGCAACAGACCCGCTTCCCTGACTTCCTTGACTATCTTCCAGGAACAAATGTTGACCTTGGGACATTGGAGTCTGAAGACCTGATTCCCATCCTCAATGATGTGGAATCAGTCCTCAACAAGAACGAGCCCTTTCTCACCTGGCTGTAACCTATCCCGCAACATTTTCTTTCCCTCTAGAAATTAAGGCAGAGTACCCTCCAGTCCCTCAGCTAACCAACCTGATGCATTACTGACTTCTGCCAGACCACTTTGTGTCAATGAATCTTGGTCTTGAGTTCACTGACAATAACTTAAGTATGAAATATATACAAATATACATATATAAATATATATAGATATATATCTATTTTTAAGACATAGAATTACTTATACACATCTATAATTGTTCATCTTTATTTACATAGAGATGTTTTGAGGACATGAGAGCAATCTTTTTGCACTATGTCTGAACTTAAAATCATTGGTTACGCGCAACAATTTTAATTAACCAAAAAAGAGAGTTGACTGAAAGAAACTTTAGCCTGTAGAAGGGTTCCAAAAAACCCCCTTACATGTAATGAAGTAGAGTGCAGTCCTACAGTTGCATTTATGACTGTACCAAATGCTTGTTATCTATATAATCTGAGCTTTAAAAATCATTTATTTTTGAGTAAACTCATGCTGTGTAGAATACACAGCATATTTTTTTTTAAGAATTCCATTCAGCAACAGGATCTTTTTTAAAAAGCTTGCTAAAGCATAAAAATACTATTTACATATTTTTTCCAATTTCTGTATGGTTTGTAGGAAAGACATATCTCCAAACTAAAAGTAAGTGAAATATTTTACTTACACTTTTTACATTACTTCAGTATTTTAAAATTGACCAGGTTGGTACTAATTGATGCCATTTTAATGTGATTACATGCAGGTCAGTTTTTTAAAACTACATTTTATATGTTAGCTGCTTAAAATACACTACAGTTTTACAATGGAACATAAAAGCAATAAACTTTCCATTGTGTCATATAGACATGAAATAAAAACACATTTTCTAAATTCAGGGCAAAGACATGGCACAGTTTGACATCACTGAATGCATTAGAAATTAATTTTGTAAAGCCTCATTATCTTTTTTAAATGATTATGTATTTTGTTGATGAAAATAAAAGCTAGAAACAGAAGCTTTACTTTATCCAATAGTTGATAAGCCAGCATCTCTTTGTCAGTGAGGCGAAGATGCTAAGATTCTTAGCCAATTGCATGTTACTTCTGACATATGGGACACAAGGCACTATATCTGTTGTATCCATACCTATTCTATTCCTATAAAGGATGATAAAATAGCTAATATTTGGGACTGAGAATGCATCAAAGGCTTCAAAACCCTACTTCCCCTGAAATGCAAATGATGTCCCGAGATCCATAAGTATTTTAACTGATATTATTTATATTCTATGAATTTTAAGCTTTTTTATATTGAAGAAACACAGTCCTTTTATCGAAGGCATTATAACTAATACTAGCCTCTTTACATAATATGCAGGGCAAGCAAGGGACATGGCTTCTTGCTGTGCTTCAGGTTCAGTACTGGGCAGTGGATTGGGTTATCTCCCCTTCCTTTCTTTTCAGTTGAGAAAAAGGCAGGTGAAATGGGTGGGAGGTTGCCGTCATTGGAATATGGGCTTGGAAGGAGAAAGGTTATGGGACAAAATACAGATAAGGATGCTGGAGAATTAGAAGGACAGGCTAGGGGAGTTGCTTGTATGGAGAACCACCACTGATCAATGAAATGCCCGTGAATACTATTTTATGGGAGAATTATTGCATGAAGGTAGCTGTCCTGGCAGCACCAGGGTAGGTTGTGGGGTGGGGGGGGAACCACTTTCTAAATGTGGATGATGAAAGATCAAAAGCAATGATGTTCAATGTTTGACTCAGAAAAAAGTGTGTGTGTGTGTGTGTGAGTGTGTGTGTGAGAGAGAGACAGAGAGAGAGAAAGAGAGAGAGACAGACAGACAGACACACACACACACACACAGAGAGAGAGAAATACTGGATGAGGTGGGTGAAAGACTAGGCGGTTATAACTTTAGTTTGCTTTAGCAGATCATTGACCTGCATAAAATATTTTCAGTCAATGGGCATTTTCTCTTTTGTTTTAAGTGTTGTCTTCTTTTTCTCTCATAACACATAGAATTTATTGTTAAGAGAGTAGTAAAATTGTCTTTGAGCAATATTATGGCATTTTCCATTATTTACGTATATTGGCTGTAAAACAAAAAGCCAGCAGCCCTTAAGGTTGTTTTTTTCTCTCTCTAAGTTATGTGAACATTTTTTTTTTACTTTCTTTTTTAGATACTCAGAAAACAAGACAGTTTTAAGGCCAGATCAAAATCTCACGTAAATCAGTGTTCCTCAAGTTAAGTGGGGTTTTTCTCTCTTGCAAAAGGCAGAAACAATGCCATGATTGTATAGGATCACTTGACAGTGCCTGGTATTTTGAATGTGAGGATATATGAGCCAGCCAACTGTATGTACAGTTACAAAGGAGCATGCTGGGCTCATAACTGGGATAAATCACTGAAAGGATTGACTGAAGAAGGATGGCTTAGTTCAAGGGAGGATCTGGACCAATATGTTTACACTGAAGAGCCAGTTCCAACATTTACAGTGCAATCCTATGCATGTCTACTCAGAAGTAAGCCCTCATGCATTATCTTTGGCTGACTCCCTAGCAAGCGTGTATAGGATTGCAGTTTTAATTGCCCATGGGAGGGGGTAAAGAATTCTACATGCCCATTCGTGCATCAAAAATGCCCATTAGCAATTCTTTCCAAGTAGCATGAACTGTACCTACAGGATTCTGTCTCTTTTCTTTTTTGAAGAAGTGGTCCTAGATTTTAGCTTAAGTCCAAATAGCTATCATGTCAGGTGGCAGTTGCGTAGAAGGGACCGTTGTGAGGGCCGTACACTTTGTCTATGTTTTGATGGGGGCATTCCAGCAAGGGAAGAGTGTTCCATTAAGCCATAAAACAGCTTCTCAAAAATTGGCTGGGAGGCCAACTTCAGTCTCAGGTAAGCAATGCCATTTGTAGAGCACTACCAACAATTTCACTTAGATCTAGCAGATCCCTCTGCATATGGGAAAAGATCTCTGTATCCTAGTAGTGCTACCTTCTTCTTAGAGATCAGTGAAGGATACCCACTTTTATTGGCACACCTCTGGAGCTTTGGATTGGAGGGACTAGGAAAGAAAAATGTGGAGAACACGAGAGAAAGTGATGGTGTCACACTTTGCTCATGGAACTGCTCTTTCCTCAATCTCTCTTCCTCATTCCTTTTACAGGAGAGGGTAAAATCCAAGAAAGATAACATTGGATTGAAACACCCTGAGGTGCATTTTGATCAGTGAGGCCTGCTTGTTGAAGTCTGCAATACTAAGCACATTTACCTCTGCAGCTCAGTGGGACTTACTTCTGAGTCAACATGTGTAGGATTGTGATGAAAATGCAAAGAGTCTCTCCACTGGAGAGCTGAGCTATACTGTGATGGGGTTCAGTTGAGAATCAGGTCTATGCGTCAGGAAAAGGGGGCTTCTACAAGCCCGCTGATATTCTGTGCCTCTGATTACAAATATAGTGACTGTCAGAGGTGCAAATCAAACAACTATTATTGTAAAACTACCAGATTTTTTTAAAAGTAATGAACCAAATGATAGTGAAGATGAAGGGAGGGGGTTGCTCTAACATTTGCAGAAATGGGGTGGGGGAGAATCAGGACTTTGATTACTTAGTGCAATCCTATTTTCAAATACTTTGTAAAGCTTTGAGATAGGTGTGCAATGCAAACCTGAGCAGAGTTCTTTCTAACTGAGTCTAACGTTAATTATTTGACAAAATGTCAGTGTAAGACGTTGGTTTGTGAAATTTATTATTATTATTTTTTTTTACACAAAACTACTTCTTTCAACAATGAAAAAATATGCTACTGGAGCAGAGATACTGCTGATCAGGGATGCCAAATGGTAGCATATGTCAATGCTGATTGTACTCAAGTGGTGTGTGGGGTGGGTGGGGGGTTGATAACTTATGATCTGGGAGTACTGTTAGTTCAGTAGTTTTCAAACTGAGTTTGGGAGAACCTCTGTGATTCCTCGGCAGCAGATTGAGTTCCTTCATGGGAAAATAATGGTGGATGAGCTTTCCTGTAAGAGAGCTTGCTTGCCCACTGTACAGCAAAAGTCAGTATAGTGTGGTGGCTAGAGAGTCAGACCAGGCTCAGCTCCCCACTCAGCCCTGAAACTGGGTCACCTTGAGCCAGGCATTAGCCAAACCTATACCTCACAAGAGTGTTGTGAGGGTAAAAGGAGGGAAAGTGCCATGTATGTCATCAAGGGTAGCTCCTGGAGAATAGAATTCTAAAGCAGTAAGGAGCCAGTCCTTTGGCTGCTAGGCAAAATCAGGGCAGCCATAGGATATTTCAGAGCCTGCCCCTCTGACCTCAGGAAATTGCTCCCCCATCCTGCTCTTGCAGCCAGCGTGCAAGAACCACTCCAGCTGTGGCTCCAGCACTGCAAAAGCGACCTCAGAGAGGACTTTTGGGGGTGGGGAGGAGAGAGGCACTGCCGGCATATGAAGTGTCCTGCTGGTGCTCACACTCTGAGGCAAAACACCTAAATGGAGGCAGCCAGCCATGCTTTGCTAGGTGGGAGAAGTTTAGAGGTCACCTCTGCATGCCTTCCCTGCATAGGATGATCCTTGTCCTCCACGTTTGGCAGCTTCATGGGATTGTGCTGTAAATAAAGAGAATCCTTTTCCCAGTAAGAGAGGAGTTTTAGATTTGTTTCCGGGTTCAGTTGTGACTCATGTGAGGTGCTAATGAAGTCCAACAGGCCTGGTCAGTGCCTTGTGTTAACAGTGTGGGAACACACAAATGTCCCCCACAAATCTTTGGCAGTGCAACGAGGTGCCATGGCAGTTTTGCAGTGGCTTCTCAATAGTGTGGAAAGGGTTCCCTGAAAACAGAAGTTTGAAAACGGCTGTATTATTGGAAAAGATAGCTTTGGGAAAACAAATGCTGTGTCTTTTATAACTTGGGGTGGGGGTGGGGGGGGGTTAAATATTTGTTTTCAGTAAGGGAAACTGGTGATGAAACAAAGGTTTCTTTTTTCCTAATATACTACATCCATGTTATGTGCTAATACTTTAATACTTTTTTAAAATTTACATCAGTTTGTTATGCTATATGCCATCTTGTGTGAGCATTTGTTTTCAATGTAGAATAATTTGCATACATAAGGTATGCTTCAAAACAGATCAGATCAAACAGTTGTACCCAGAGTTTGGTTCTGGTTTTTTGTTTTGTTTTTTTTAAATATTTCTTTAATATTGTACAAAATAAAGAAATAAAGTGGATTTAATCATCCTGGCTATATGCTTGTTTATGCTACTTATTCATTGTTTTGAGATAAAAAAAATAGAAATTGTGTGATTAACAGTTGTTTAATGCCACTAAAAAGAAAGTGAAGAATCAGCTTCACAGAAGACAGTGGTCCTCTCATTCAGACATCTGGCATGTAGCTAGAACTTGCTGGCTCTGAGCAAGTGGGCCTCATCTGGACATAACAATAAACTATGGTTTTATCATGCAGACCAGCCTACATATTCCCTCTTCCCATCTGACATGGTAGTGGGAAGACATCAGAAGATGTTGTTTCCATTTTTAACAAATCTCAGTTTAACATTACATCCAACCTTACCCTATGGTTAGCCCAAACTTTGATTTACTGAACAAAATCAACCTCAAAACGTTCGGATATAACACTGAAATGTTGGTGAATTAAAAATACAAGTGAAAAATTTAGATCTCCTCTCAGCCACAACAGGGAAGATAGAGGTGTTGCAAGGCTCATACAGCCTGCTTCACATAACAATAAATTACAATTTATCATTATGTCTCCACAAGGTCAATGAAAAGAATTAGTTGAAACTTTTCTTGTCATGTGGTGAACTCAAAGGGCCACAGGAGATTTTGAATTTCAAGATCCAATGTTGGGGAAAACACTCTGACCTCTGAGTTGGAAATTGTCACTCCAGTGACAACCATATGGACTGCTCTCCCAGGTTAGGAAAGTGGCCACAGAGATGGGAAAGGGGACAGGACTGGAGAGGCTGATCCTGATGCTTCTACAGCCTCCTTTCACCCTTCTCCAAAACACTCCACGAAGAAGCCTGAAGCAAAAATAAAAGGCAGGAGAGTGGGGAGGTGAAGATCACCACGTCTGCTATTCTTCCCACCTTGCATTGGATGACCATATAATGCTCTGAATTTGGAGGCTTACAGGCATTGCCATAGGATGAAGCCCTAAAAATATTAATTGCACACTCTTTCTACTAGGCACTTAGGTGATGTGCAATAAACATATTGACATTTCATTAAAACTTTACATCAAACTAAGAAACACGGGAACAAAAAATGAATGCCATACAATAAAATGCAGGCGAAGCATTAAAATGAAAGAACTATATGATGTTAAACAACATGGGAAGACCAGCAGAACAGGACAGTCTTTGCTGACAGTCCGAGGTTTAATGAGGAAGGAGCCGATCTTGCCCTCCTTAGAAGGAAGTTCCACTGCGACAGAAAAGGTTCTGCCTCTAGTAGCCAAGCTGGCCTCTCTGTGCGATGGAACATTTAACAGAGCCCCTGGTGCTACTTCTAAATTAAGTTCAAGGAAATAATGAGGTAGGTTCAGTTTCTGTTTACTTGTTCATTTGTGGAATGCCCCACGCACAGAATCTGTACAGATTGTCCAGGGGTTGAGCAACACAGATTGGCAAAGGTAGGAGAATCTTGGGAGTGGAGAACGATTTTATGAAAATGCCTATCTCAAAGCATGTCCGTGTGGGAAATGGTGTGTAATTTGGCCATGTGTAAATTCAGTGTTGAGGGGAGTCTGTGGCCCCCAGGTTTTTAACTCCAGCACCCCAACTAGCCTGCCAAATGGTCAGGGGTGAGAGAGTTCTGCTCAAACATCATCTGGGAGACTGTAGGATCCCTGATTTTGTATACACAGTAGTGAAATGCTGCATTCATTTCAGGTTCCTCTTCCAGCCCCCCCCCACCCCCACATTTCCCTCCCACTACAGAAGATAGAAGAACATTTAGACCAACTCTGGGGCTAATCTAAATCTTCTGCTGTGTTGGTGTCATGGCAGAAGGCCAGGAAGGCTCTGGATGGACACACATCCAAAGCCATGTCCTCCTGTCCAGGCAATGCTACCAACCTGCCCATTTTCCCACTCTAATGTCAGGTGAGAGAGGGACCATGGGAAGATCCATTGGGGCAGGAAGGAGGGCCCAGGATCTAAGCTGGGAGGGGCAGATCTGACATCCCCCATGCCTCTAGGGTGCCATCCAAGGCCTATAGAATTGGAGGCCTAGTCCTGATCCAACCCTCTGTTATAATAAGGGCTCAGTGTGCGCAGGCTACAGGCTAAAACACACTAATTGCTAGTCAAGCGTATTACAAAATACATTTTCTGACAGTGATTAATTTCCTTCCCCCAAACTTGTGTATGACACAGCCCATAGAATAGTTTCTACTGGAGTAACAGGTGAGGCTGCATCACCATAACATCCATTGCAAGCAGCTTCTTGCTGGAGTGTGTTTTGGAGGATGCATTCTGAGCTCGCTGAAGCTGTAACAACTACAAGGTCAAGGGGCATGTTCCCACTGGTAAAACATCTTGAGAAACCAAAAGTACCCAAAGATGCTATCACTGTAAAGTTGACTTCTTTCTATTTCTAGAGCAAAGTCACAAGAAGGCATTTCATTCTTCATTTCCAGCTAGGTTTTAAATATGCTATCATATCTCTCAGTATTGCTGAGAGTAGATTTTTGATAGTGTTTCAGTGCTTCCAGCTTACTGGCATCAGGGCAGTGACAGAATTAGGCTTGCTCAGCAGCTCTGTGTTTCAAAGACCATCATGAATAGCCAGAAAATAACCAAAATTTTAATATTGCAAATGAAAGCTGGAACCAGACTTTTAAAGGCATGGATTTTTATTTAAATAAAACTTCTCCAAACTGGTATATTCCATATATGTTGGACAGCAACTTCCATAATCCCCAGACAGCACACAATGGGAGTTACAGTCCAGCACAAGTGAAATTTACAGGATTGAGGAAGACTGCCTTATGGTTCTAATTTGTTTCCATGGTTTGTTTTCCAACTTGTGGTAGCTTTTCAGAAAGTACAGGTGCTGAAATGGGTAAGTGGTGGTTGGTTTCCTTAGATTTATAAAGCATGCATCTCATATTTCCCCTGCCCCCCCTTTTTTTGATCAGACTGGCTTCAAAACTGAGCCCAGATTTTTTGTGGCCCACTTAAAAATTCTGAGATTTTTGCACTTTTTTTAAATAGTCACTAAAAATAATTATACCTTTAACTGGAAGACTGTTTTATTCTTCAGTTCTCAAGCATATTATTATTTTGCCTCACCAGTTTGACTTGAGAAATTGCTGTTTCAGTCTTAGTCACACTAACCATGGCAGCCATTTTGTGAATGGACAGATACCTTCATAGCAGCCATTTTGTGAAAGCCATTTTGTGAGAGCACTCAGAATGCCACAGGTGCTCATTGGCCCCAGATGCTGAGGACTCCAGCTTTAGGCTATAAATTATGTACTTTGCAACACCGAATCTTAATAGTCACCTAGAACCAGAAGTCACTGTTCCACATCTATGATCCTTGTGAAACCAAGGAAAGCTATTCAGTGACAGGCAATACTTGGGATTTTACAACAACTTCTTTATGACAAATTTCTGCTTGTAACTATAGTGCTATATATTTGATTTCTAGGTACCGTATTTTTCGCTCTATAAGACGCACCTGACCATAAGACGCACCTAGTTTTTAGAGGAGGAAAACAAGAAAAAAATTATTCTGAATCAAGTGGTTTACTAAACTATTTAATAAACTATAACAGAATACAGTAATACCGTATTTCAACCTTGTAAGGTGAACAGCAGTCAACAGTGGCATTAAGAACCATCATCACTGTCATTAACAAAAGAGAGACTTTAAAGTTCGAGTACTCTTCTAGTTTTCGTTGAACCCATAGAACTCATCATCGCTAGAGTCAGAATTTATGAAGCTCTGTTGCTCACAATCACTGCCATCACTTTCTTCACTATCTTCGTATAAGATACCATCTTTGGTTCCATCCAAAGCATTGCTAATTCCACGTTTTTTGAATGACTGTACAACGATTTCCTCCTTCACTGAGTGCCATGATGTTTTCACCCATTCACAGACTTGAGTGATAGTGGGCCTCTTCATTTGTCCAGTAGGTGTCAGATCATGATTACCAGCAGCCATCCATTTGTTCCACTCTTCTCGCAGAAAGACCTTAAATGGTTTGTTGATGAAAACGTTGAGAGGTTGCAACTGGCTGGTAAGACCTCCAGGAATTACAGCTAGATGAGTCTTCATTTCTTTAAAGCACTTTTTTGTAGTTTCACTAATACGTGCTCTAAACTGGTCAAGCACTAATAAGGCAGGTTTTTTCAGAAGCCCTCCAGGACGTTTGGACCATACTTTTTCAACCCATACTCTCATTCCATTTTCATCCATCCATCCTTTCTCATGAACATGTACAACAACTCCTCTTGGAATCACTTCTTTTGGAAATGTTTTCCTTTTGAAAATTAACACGGGTGGCAATTTGGTGCCATCTGCACAGCAAGACAACACAATCGTGTAATGGGTTTTCTCATGTCCAGGTTTTCACGGAATCTTATATGCTAGTCTTTTCTGCTTTATCATCCTTGTATGTAGAATGGGGGAGGTTTTCTGCAAGAAGATACAGTGATGAAGGAACTGTCAGTAATGTACCAGAAAACCTCTGTGCAAAATGGTCAAATGATGCGGTATACCGTATTCACTCTGTACAAGGACTATACATGTACAAGGACTATACATTACAGCTGTATAGTAATATACGGTATGACATTTCCCAGTGGCAATCTATCGGTCAGATGATGACACACAGAACGTTCCACATGACATTTATTACTGTACTCAGCAGACACATTTTATCTAGAATAATATGCCGTTACTATCTGTGCTGCTGAATCTCAAAAAATTCGCAGTCAGTAGTGGAATTATTGAAGGAATCCACAATCTACACCAGTTATACAAGAACTGCTGCAGACAATTCAATAATAAATCTAAAAAAGCCAGTAATGTCCACGCTGCCCTACTAGTAAGTAATAGAAAAAAACTTCTGACAAAAAATGAGATATTGTACAGCAAATCAAACACACAGCGGACTAAGTAGCCTTTGAAGAATAAACTTCATACACGAAGGTACTGCTGTTCAAATATCCACTGATCCTAAAAAAAATGTGTCTGATCAACTAACAG